ACATGACCACATAAATAATTGGTCAAAGGTTAATCAAACCAATTTTTCCAACAATCTCTCACATAAATGGAAATTAATGCAATAAATGATGTAGACCTTATAGAGATATTAGATGGAAAGTTATTGCATCTGGATAGATATCTTATGAGTTTGAACCTTCGGGAGTAGAACTGATGCAATATTAAAGAGATCATTATATTTAGTTTTCAATTTTGAAATTTATTCTAGGAAATATAATTAATATTTTGATTTCGTTGATTTCATAATAATTTTTTGCTTTAATTAGGACTAGTTTAAACCCTATATAAAGCGGATCAGAGCAAATCGTACTCTTTTGTTCTATACACTTTCAAATCCAAAATCAAAGAAATTCACCAATTGCTTCCAACCAATTCATACGCCATCAATCCAAAGACTAAACTAACCAATCATTCCATCTAAATAAACATATATTGCCAAACCATACACAAAACCCTATTGTGGATGCTTGTGGGATAATACTTCCTCTCATACTCAGTTAAGGACATTGAGCCCTGAACTAAGTTGAGAAACTCTCTCTCCTTTTGATTGCGGATACTTGTGGGATAATACTTCCTCAAGAATTGTTCCTTGAATTCATTTATGTCCAATTATGTCGGCGAGCCCTTGACATTGATGTTGAGACCTACCAATGCATAGCACATTTCTTAAGCATAAATGTTGAGCAGATAACCTTCCTACTATTTGAGTATTCAATAAGGTCAAAAATTCTTTCTACTCCAGTCAGCCAATCTCCTGCTTCCAATAGGTTGATACCACACTCGAAGGTTGGGGGATGCTGTTTCCTGATAAGTTCTACGACAACCGCAGCAGTAGTCCTGTTGTCCTCCATCGCCGCTGGTACCTACGACTGAGGTGACGACGATTGTGATTGTGTCGGATATTGTGGTGATGTTTGCTGCAGCACTGTTGCTAGGATGAACATACTCATCATAGCTATAAATTGCTGAGCAAACAATGGGTCATTAGGTTGGGGTTGTTGGGACTGTTGGCCATTGTTATTTGCTCTCCTGCCTCGGGTTGCTATAGTTTTAATAAACTATAATAAGATATGCAAAAGGTCAAATGAGGATTTATTTATTTATTTATTTTTAGAAATTTTGTAAAATAAGAATTCTTTGATATATGTTTAACTATAATTTTTTTTTTTAAAATAGAAGTTTTGTAAGATGGTAGTTTTTCAAATTAGACATTTCACCAAAAATTTTCCTTTGATCAGGATTTCTAGAAATGGAAGTTTCATAAGATAGGGATTCTTAAAATAAAGGTTTCAAAAATTAAAAATTCGTAAAAAATTTTGAAGAATGAAGTTTGGAAATCTTTTTAAATTTAGAGTGAGTATGCAATATTGTTTTCATTTTATTGGTTTGAATAACGCTCATCTGAGTAGCTTCCAAGTGAGAAGGGGGTTACAAGTGGACCACTTAAATTCCAAGCTCTCTTTAAATAGTTTAGGTCTTTTTTGACAAAGCCTTCAGTTTTGCAAATGCATAACAAAAAACTC